TGGAAAAATAATTCCCTCTGCTGCAGGAGGGATGGGGTGAAGAGTTCTGGACTGTGTTATGTGTGATACCATGACAGACAGTTTTCAAACATTTCCTTGCCTTAAAATCTGTAGTTTAACATAGTACTCATCTAACTCCACCAGGTTCCTTGAGAGACTACTGGCAACAGCCTTGAAGACCACCCAGAGTAACCTAGTCCCAAATCAGGACTGGCTCATATAAAGGGAAGGGTTTAATGTCAGTCCCCAGAGAGCCTGAATAAAACCAGGGAAAATCCGTGACTGTTTGTCTTACTTTCGGACAAAAGTTCGCCACAGAGACGGCAATTTTTCTCACATTCATAAATACCCTTCAGAACCTGTATACAGACTGGAGTCAAACTTGTTCAAATCTGGGGGAAACAAGGGGAAAGTAAGGAGGAGATTAAGAGTACTTTTGTCACAGGACTGTTTACTCACTTGTGTGAGAAATCACCCAAGATGTCAACAGTAATTACGAATCATCATTCTCACCTTCTGGCAGGTTGTCTCAACCCTCCCTTTACAACACAGTCAAGTGGAAAGGGAGAACAAAAACTTCTCACATTGGGTTTCCACCACATACAAACAATTCAAGCTATTTCAGTGAGCAGCTCTTGCTGCCAAGTACCTTATCTCCTTGATAAACACCAGAACCACAAGGCTAAAACATTGTTGTTTAGGAATTTCAAGCCAAATAGAAGAGCTCCAACAGGGGCTTTGAGGGGGGATTTGAGGGGGATCCAGGATAACCTTTCATGTCTAACAAATCGCAGTTGTTGGCTTTTTATTTCAGTGAAAAAAATAAATTAAAAACTCACAAACCAAAATAAAATCATTATTTGACCAACGCCAAGGGCTATTCACACCACTCCTCTTGGGTGCCTATGCCCATTTTTTGGGAATGAGGATCTGACAGGAAGCTAATAAGCATTAAATCCTAAATCCTTCAGCTATCTATGGAAATAGGATTTAAAGTCTCATACGGATTCAGTTCTTTTCACTGTTGTGTGCAATAACAGTTCAAGCAGTTATAGTAGCAATGAGAGGTAGAGAAGTTGAAGCACTCAGGTGAATACATTCAAGTTAATCTATGTTTGCAGTAGCAGTTCAATTACACTCTTTGGCACGGATGAAATAAACTAAAGAGAAAGCATTGCTATGTAAATACTCTTCCCAACAACAGAATGGAAAGACTGTATCCTTTATGTACCTGCACTGAAATAAGTTGTCCTTGCAATATATTAAGTAAATTCTATACTAACCTCTCAGAAACAAATGTTAAGTTTTCTGCGAGAGTGCAGCTCCCTTCTATGTCAGGAGAGCATCAAAGTGCTGTCTTCTGTGCAGTTGTTATCTTCATAAATTACTGACTGGAATTTTGTTGTTTCAAAAAAAACCCCAAATATTAAAAAAACCTAGGTGTGTATCTCATCCTAAATACAACTCAGGATAGTTTTCCTCTTACTTATGGAGGACAAAAATAAAAACATGCACTTCAAGGCATTAGTACCATGAACAGAAATAGTTCTAAAATAATTTCTGTGTTTATGAAGCTATATGAGCATTTTGTCACTGCAGGTAAAACCTTCCTCTCTTCCCAGACTGATGAGCAGAAGGAAAGGACATTTGTGGTCTCCAAAGCAAACATTCCAATGAGATAAAAATTGGCTATTTCCATGAGCAAAGGAAATGGTTTGAGGCACAAATTTAGGATCTAGACACAGGCAGGATTCATATTAGCTCAAGGATATTCACACCCAGGCCATTGACATAGAAGAAAAGACAAAAGTTTTCTCAGAATCCAGATTAGTGTCATAAATTACTGTAAGTGTTGCCAGTATAAATTACTATCTGGATTTCCTTAGAGTTATAATTTAAATGGTAAAAGTGATTTCACATGCAATATGTTTGAGAGGGCTTTGGAGAATGCAAATTAGAAAAGTCACATTCACCCAATGCCAGGTTTGTGTGTATTTTGCAGCTGGCATCCATTTTAAATTTGCTCATTTGATATTGTGTTTTCTGAGACCCACCATAGATCAATGTTGAAGCTGTGCAGAAATCCCATTTCCCAAATAAAGCCCACACAATGGCCTGTGGCTCACGCTTCCCCAGCAAGGTGACCCCATGTTCTGCACCCAGATCGGCCTGAAGAGACTCCTATGCACATCCCCCATTTTTGAGAGATGGTCTCCAACCATCAGCCCAAGGACTAAGCTGTGTGAGGTGCTGACAAATGAGGTTGGACCAACAGGTAGCCCAGGCTAACATCAGGACATTACCCAGATATAGAGGAGGAGTTAAAACACCTGCAAACCCTCATTAGAAACCCATTTCAGCACTTTGGACGTTGTGCACCGGCCAGTGCTTTCCTATTCCGCTCACGTCGCATCCACTTCTCGGTATCATAACCCATGTATTATTGCACAAGTCCCAGTATTAAGTAAGTAAAATGAAGTGTAGAAAGTTAAAGAATCCTAACAACTACTCCAGCCTAAGCTGCCAGTTAAGAGAAGAACCTACATGCACATCACAGAAGAACAGTGGAATTATTTCTGGCATTTATCTGCGTACATTGTACTAACACACATACATCCACTCCCTGATACTGAATTGAAGGCCTGTACACTAAGTCATCCATCATCACTGGTTATTATAACACCCCCTTTTTTAGGAGACCATATAATCGCTGCCGTAGCATGTCTTTTAGTTTTTACAGTAAATCATCATGCTCTTATTTTTTGTGATTCCTACTGAAAGTTCCCAGCTGGGAGATGCCTCATGAATTACTAGGATAAGACGTTATGAGCGTTCATGCCCTCATGAGGAAATTCTTTTCCAAAAAAATGACTTCAGTTGCTACTCTATTATAAAAATAGTAATAAACAGCATTGATCTAAAAGCTCATGTGACACTTGTTAGCTTAGATTTTTCTAGCCCAATGTGGACTGCTGGCAGGGAATTGGTGGGGAAATTAACCACAGATGGTAGCCAGGGAATATATCTGATACAACAGAATAATTGTGTGGCAACACCCTGGTGCCTCGGAAAGCAGCATCCAGCTGTATTCAAGGACGTGAAGCTCTCCCTGGGTTACTAGCAATTTTCACAGGCCAAAATAAAGACCTTTTGACAGTGGTTTTGGCATCACAGGGAACACAGTGACTAAACAGCTGCACTGCACATTCTCCACCAGAACAGGTCACATCTTTTCAAAGGACAGCAGCAGGAGGGGCCGCACGGGCAAAGGCCACAAAGCTTTTTCCCTTTCCACCATGTGACAATAAAGAAATACAAGTACAAGCACCATGCAGGGTTCTAGTTCTTTGAACACGGCTCTTGCTAGAGTGTTCCCAGAGGCCTGCTTCTGGAGATGGCAAATTGAAGGTACTGGAATATCACAGAAATGCAACATTCGACTCAGAGAAACTCCTACTGCAGCCACACACTGTGCAGGTTGGCAATGGATCACTAAAAGCACAGGTCAGAAATGTAACAACAGAGAGAAGTGTGTGAGAAAGAGCACAGGTATGTAGGTATGTGTGTATAAATTATATCACAACTTTAACACATTTAACACATTTTCAGCCTGGCATCACCAAGTTGGCCTGAGTGTCCAAGCTTTAGGAGAAGAGGTTGCAGGAAAGTAAGCAGAAATAAAAAAGCCCAAGTGGGTTCAATTACGGGGAGTTGCAGGATACCCTTTCTCCCCTCGAGTCAGCTGGAGAGTTTTTCACTACGTGTTCTGCCTTCTGACTGAGGCAGGGGCTTCCATCGAAAATAGCTTTGCTTTTAAGCATCACTGATTCTTGAAAACTGGATGCCAGCCTCACCTCATCTGGTCTAGTGAAGAAAGCTGGGGAAAACAGGCTGAGATTCACAAGGGACTCAAAGAACAGCCTCAGCTTTTTTCAGTTTGCATGGCAACTCTAATCCCAGGACCAGTGTTAGATGCTTCTCAGGGAATTGGAAAGGAGGAAAAAGCTTTCAGATGGGAGAGATAGAAGAGACTATGAGCTTCAGACAACCTCACTTTAGAGCAACATCATCTGCCTCAGAACCAGACAAGACTTGAGTCCTGCTACCTCAGAGCAAGGATGATGAGGAGACACTCGCTGTCTTCTGCCTCCTGGTTCTTAAAAACCTCAGACTAGACCAGGAGCAGTGGTACCAAACCACATGTTACTTCAGCCTAAGTCTGGTTTGGCATAAAAGACATTATACAAAACAGCAGCATGGTTCCACATGAGGATTAAGGCATGCACAGAATTTGTGGGAAGAGACACCACTGCTGAATCAAAGTGAGACTCTCTAGCTGGAGAAATAACTGGGGTAGCATAGGAAACAGACTAACTTTCAAGACCCAAGCTCTTCTTTAGGATATGAAGAGGAGGGTCGTTCCCTGGCAATGGGCTTAGGTGCTTCCAAGAGTGTGTCCCTTATTAGAATCATAGAATTGTTTAGGCTGGAAAAGACCTCTAAAATCATCCAATTCAACCACTAATCCAGCACTGCCAAGGCCACCAATAAGCCATCACTAAGTGCCACATTTACATGTCTTTTAAATACCTCCAGGGATGGTGACTCAATCACTTTCCTGGACAGCCTGTTCCAACGTTTGACAACCCTTTCAGTGAAGACATTCTTTTCTAATATCCAGTCTATTAGACCAAATGACTAAAAAAGGCACTCCAACAATCCTGATGCCTGAATTTTAAATTGCTGTTAACTAACTTGATCTCTGTTTCCCTCTTCATGAACTCCTCCTCTGATGTCAATTCACAACTACAAAAAAGCCACCGCTGTAAAGCTTTCAAAGGAACTGCATTCTCTTCTGGGTGGAAATCATGCTGAAAAACAAGACCTCTCTACATAGAGCTGTGGCCAGCTGGGGCTATAAGGGATGTTCACAGGGCTGGCTCACTCCTTAGAGCCTCTGGAGCTTTTTTTTTTCTAAACCTATGAGAACATTTTGACGGTTAAATACAATGTCAGATTTTATGCCCTAAAATGCTTATTAATTCAGGGATTTGTTTTGACATCAAATTCTGTTTCAATCAAATGCTTAAGATGGTGCATAGCTAAGCATCAGAGTCCCCAGAAGACAACAGTAAATCTGCATGGTTGTGCTAACCCCAGGCTTGTGCTCTGATGTGGTAGAAGCCTATCTTCTCTCCTCTCTTTCCAATTTACCAGGTCCTATAATGGTGTATGATTTGCACTTCTGTTGTAATAAATTCAGTCTCAGCTCAAACATAGATGTCACAGACAGTGTCAGTTTACTCCCAAAAAAATCTTATTCAATCCAGACTTAGCTGTTTGGTTTTCTGCTGACTTGGATAAATGCTTAGTTCTAGGACAACTTTACTTCTCTGCCATACAAATCTCACACTCCTCTGAGTGACTCTTCTTAATTCTTGGATCTACCTCTCATCTCAACCATCAACCATCCACTTTATTTATTGGAGCACTGGCCAATCAAAACTGAAAGCAACTACACAGTCACTAGTGAGCTTTGTGCAAATAACAATTCTTTTTCCATTTCACAGTAAAATTCATCTGCCCTGGAACTCCTGCCCATAAGTGGGGAGAATGGATTAATTCAGCACTGAACTACTCATAAAATAGCTGTTTGAACTCCTTGCTATGTGTATAGATATATAGAGATACCTACAATGCAAATGCTTACAGTAATTTTGCATACCCTTTATGAAATAAATATCACAAATAAATTCTAATACTCAAAAAAGAATAGTATACAGAGTTAGGAACCAAGTTACATTTATAAATGCACAAGCATTAACACTACCTATTCAGCTTAATTTCTTAGTATGCAAGCTTCAGCAATTGCTAGCTACACTTCACTTCAGGAGTCATAATAAATGCTGGTCATGCCAAAATCTAAGAAGAAACAAACCCACAAAAGTTCTACACCATCCCTCCAAATTATACACAGTTTTTTGACAGACACTGTAATACTAAAGCAGTTTCATGGAATTCATTAACACTGTCCAATATTAAATATCAAGTCTGGAACACAGGTCTCTATGTTCAAAACAGAATCAGAGCAGGAGCATCATGTTTGTCAGCACTGTGTCCATACATAGCAAAAGCGGAGACAGCAAGAGTCTGTACCCAGATCAGAGCTGCAATTACCAGAATAAAGAGAGAACAGGGGCAGCTTTACTGGCAAAAGGGAGGAGAGAGAGAGAAGAGCTGTTTGAAGAAATAGCCTTAATGCTGTAGCCTGGTCTTGCCAGCTCAGTCCTCAAAAATGGCCCCTGTCCCAAAAGCCAGTAATGACATGTAGAAGCTCTGTTAGCAAGAGCAGGTTCCAGATTGTGCCTGCATAGGACAGAAAGTTTGCTGTGCCAAAGGCACATAGGGCAGTTCATTCTCTGTATCCTAATACAAGTATTTCTACCAAAAAATTCTCATGGAGGAAGTGGGTGATTCACAAGTGCATCTCTTTTCAGGAAAGATCTCACACACTCAACACCCTGATTCAACTTCAGCTTACCCTACTGAATAATAAAATCTAGATCCTGCCCTAGAAATCTGCTTACACTTTAGATCATGCCACTTTTCTCATCTTGCAAAGAGGATCGTGAAGCGGATCTTCCTAGCAACAGCTCCTTCTCATGGATCAGGCTATCTAGCAGGTCCTCCTGTCTGTAGTTGTGATAAACCTTCAGGAAAGCCAGAATGGTAATTGCCAGCCAAGTCAGCCAGGCAGCCCAGAGACCAAACTAGAGAAAAAAAAAAATCATAAAGAGGTCAGTACTGTATTCTAAAAACAAAGTCAACTCTCCAGATGAATATCAAAACCTCAGCTGGACCAAAACACATGGAGTCACGCCAAGTTGAACTCAGTGAGGTCCTGGATTCTTCATATAAAGGAGTCGCTTTTATGGCATATTTCTGTCCTAAATACAGATATGCCTGAGCTGGGCATCTAGTTGCCAGTGCTGGCAATGAAGACACAAAATGAGTTCGTGTCCAAGAGGCATTGCTACATTCAGGGAATGCCCCAGGCAGACTAATGCCTCTTTCCATGTGGGAAAGTATAAGAAGCCTGTGCAAGGGTGCAGACCTGCAGGGATGGGATTCTTGTCCCTGCAGAATTAGTCCATGCACAAGTGCTCAAGTCCCAGTGTTGAACGACTTTATCATTGACTTAGAGCTAGAATGGTCAATAGAAAGGACTGACAGCCTTAGATGTCTAATTCTCATGGATTCATCAGAAAACATCTATTTACATTACATTAATCTTTCATTATTTTCAATGGTCTGATATTTACATAGCTCAGGTGATGTCAGACAAACTCATGGAAGGCAAAACTAGTAGCCCCATGATCTGGTGCAGGTCAGACATTATTCTGAACAGCAATGAAGAGCTCCAGGATACCAGAGTGTTGCAACTTTTGCAGACCTGATCCTTAAGATAAACAATGAATTTTCTGAAATGATTAACAAGATCAGTGGTAGGGTGAGGTTTTGACATGTCTGCATTCAAAACTATCCGTTTTGAATTTACAATGCAAATGTGCCCATCACTATCATCCTGATTCAGCACTTACTGAAGTCAGTGGAAACTGATTTCAAATTCCCATTGATTTCTGAGGAATGGTGGTTCAGCTCCATCGATACCTGATCAATAAGCAAATGGCAAATGAACTGAAATAGAATCATGGCCTAGTCTGACCTACCTGTGCAATAGCAAACTGGTCATAGAAAGCAGAGTTTTCCAAGTTCAGTTCAAGATCTATATCCTGCAATTCTTCACAGCTAACCAGAAAGGCATTTGGAAGGAAAAAAAAGAAAAAAATTATTTCAGACATTGCAGGTAAACTAAATAGAAAATGAAGCAACATCTTAAATGTATTTTGAACAGTCATAAGCGCATGTTTTATCAAAAGATATTTAAGTTATGGCAATTACCAGGTTGCTTTCCAATCTTCTTTAAAACTAAGCTGGAAAAGGCATGTAATTACCTTCTTTAAAAAAAATAAATGTATAATTATGTAAGTGATAACACAAATCTTCCACAAGTGGAATTGCAACAGTTAACATGAAAAGAGTGTCCTTAAGCCCCTCTTTCCCACTACCACCTCGCCTCCCACAGATACGCCTCTGGCATCACCCCAGGTTGGTTGCTTCACCCCTCAATGAAACAAAGTGTATGAGCCTCTGTTACCTTTTGACTTCATCAGGAAAAGCCTCAGAAGAAGGAATTGTGTTTTTGTTTCGGATGCTCCAGCAAGGAGACGATACTCTGATGGTAAGATAGAGGCTGCCTACAGATTTTACAAATAACTTGATCTTTATTGGTGTGAAAAAAATCCCAGGATACTGAGGTTGTCATTCTATCTCTTGGTTGATTTCTGCAGCCTCTTCTCTCTCCTTTTCAGTGCTGTCGGTCATCTCGGGTTCTTACCCGAATATTCGATTAGATGTTTTTTGTAATCGAATTTTTAACCGAATATTCGAATAATTCGATTAATCGTTGCAGCCCTAAACAGAACATTTACTATGGCATTTTACAACATATGACAATGTGCAACATAAATGTATGCTTTAAGTAGTACATTTATTCAATATCATATGACATAAAATGTCACCTTTTCCTCTCTCTTCATTGTTATTTGTTTGATAGGAAAAAGTCTTCCTCAACTTTTAAACACTGTGGGATACAGTAGACCATTTTAGAAGCTGCACATTTTGTGCACTATAAGAAAGCATCAACCACCTCTACTTTGCATTTAAAAAGTACTTTCCATTCTGTGGCTCTCGGGGCGTCCACAGCACTGTTACAAGGCCAGGATCTCTATGCCAAAGTTTTTGGTTGCTGGTGCATTGTGACACAGGCATGATGAGTGACTTGCCCACTGTCACACAGAGCCAGGACAGAGAACCAGGAGCCCTGACCCCCAGTCCCCTGCCTTGCTCACAAGACCACACTCCCTCCATTCTTAGAAAACTTCCAAATCTAGCTTTTCTTCAGAAATAAACATTTTTAAAACAATGGATTTCTTTTGCATAAGATAATGGCTCAAAGGGACCATGAAACACCATGGAAAACACATTTTTCTCTGTGAGTTTCTAAATAAACAAATAAACAAAAACATTTGATTAGATTTTTTTTTTTGTTCCAGATGAAAAAAATCTGGATTTTCACATTATAGATGCCTTCTCCGCCTTGTTCACCTTGCATGTAATAACTACAGTTTGTAACACCACTGTTCAATTGTACATATATGAAAAAAAAAAAGGGAAGAAAATGTATTCTTCAATACTAACCTATTTGGCATGCTTCCTTTCTCGGTAATTGCATCACACCACATGTTAAATCCTACACTCACTATAGTGCTAGCAATAAATGTGATGAACACCACAAAGGCGCTGATCAGCAGATTCAGGAAGGCGTAAAAGAAAGAGCTGTAATAAAAGGGAAGAAAAATGTAACTCATAAACAGCTGAAACACAACATCAGCAGTCTCTGTAAGCAGCATACACTGGGCACAAAGATATCAGTTTGCATTTGAAATACATCTGCTTTAATTAAGAACACCTAATACATTGAAACACTATGGATTATGGTTTTGAGTCATATTATCTTCATTTGCAAGTGCTTTTGCTTTTGGTCTTTTTTTTTTCACCGTAAGAGAATGGAGCTTTAAATATAAGTACTGAGGGGAGATTGTTCATACACTGCATGGCTTTCATTAGCTGTAATGATGAAAATCACCATTGTTAAAATAAATGTCATTAACTCAAATTATGTAGTAACTGGAGCTAAAATTATTTCATGATTAAAGTGATAATTGGGACAAAAATTGCTTAGGAGAGGGAAACTAAAAATAAAAACACGGTACTGATAGCCATAATCATTTTAAGCCATGTAACACAAGGTACTGCCACCACAGGACACGAATCCCAGCTTTATGGGCAATTTGCAGAGCAGGCCAGCTTCTCCTGGGACTTCTCTGGCTTTGGTGTCAGTATGTTATTTCTGCCAGCTGGATATCAATTTACCTCAGTCCCATTAAGTCTGTCCAACCCAGGCCAGCCGTTGGCACATGCTGTGTTTGGAGTGGGATGGGGTGGGATGCCTGCAGTGGTCCCATAAGGCCATGGAATCATTCACTCCTTTTCCAACCTCACTGTTTAACTCCTCCCCTTAATCCTAGCCACTAGGAACTTTCTAATCCTCTTTTCATTCATTTGACCAAGCCCTTCGCAAGTTGAAACTGCTCCAAGTGGCTGTTTAGAATAGGACATCTTGGAATGTCACATTATCTAAAAACTGGATATCTACTCTAGGTTGTAGAAAGACTGGCAACTCCAGGAAGCAGATCCTCCTATTCAGGTTATGTGGTAAAGTTGAATATGACAAAATTCCCACCATTGCCACCCATTATGCTGGGGATAGAAGGAGTCTACTCACCCCAGAGACCACAAAACCCCCAGTCATTTCTTTTCCTGGTTGCTCATTAATTGAAAAGCTAAGTGGCTTTTGAGTGAGTGTTTGAATCCTGAAAGGTTCTGGGCTGAACAATCCTAGTTTCTACAGGTTTTGCATGGTGATACATATGTGGCCTCAGGGGGAATTCTTTAAAATAAGATGAGGAAGTAATTATCAGCAGGACTATGATGTTTTTTCCTGGGTTGATGTGGCTTTAGAGGGGCTGTTTAGGCTCTCTCCAAAGTGATGGTTGTCTCATCTCAAATCTGATAGAAAAGAAGTGAAATAAACCACCTTCCAGAAATGCCCTTATAGACTGTGGTGGGAGCTGGATGGCAGGACACCTCACTTCTAGATGAACAATAAGCTGAATCCTACTCTTTGGCTTAGCTGGACTTGGTGAACCAGATCTGTTCACCTCCACTGAATTCTGGGGTCACTTGCACAGAGGGAGCTGAAATGAACCATGGTTTTCCATGTTCTCTGCCACACCCTGATTTCAAATCTAGCCTGGATTTCATCCTAAGTGTTGCTAAAGCCATATCCACTGTGTGCACCTTAGCGTGGTATGCTGGCCTGAGAGGCAGAAGAGACTTGAGCTCTTCACAGAATAAAACAGAGTTGATACCACAATTAGTAACAGCTCTAGAAAGGGAACAGTTACCAGGAGTATTTAGTGGGTCATCAACCGTGTAATGGTAAATGCTTACAACTCAAAGTTGCTTTGCAATCCTGGTAGTGAAGTGTCTGAGTTGTATTCAGTTGTATTCAGTTGAGCTGAATAGTTCCAGGCCCCTGAGGTAAGGGTTATGAGACACTTTTAAGAAGGTATTTTAGCAGTCATAACTATCTGATAGCAATCATTGAAATCCACTGCACACAAAGGATGCATAGGATGTTAACTAACCCTGACTTCCTCAGCTGGTTCACCCTGGAGCTGGTCCAGTAGCACTGATCCTCGTCAACAGGATCATCAGTGATGACATTCTGGTTCTTCCTCAACTGCCTCTGATCACAAAAGACAATTATCGTTTATGGCAAGGAGCTTGCATTTATCTCTCCATCCAAACAGAAATGTTTTCACGCCCATTTGAAGCATTAACAAATGTCTGTCTAAAATCAGAACAGCGTGTGTCCTGCCCTCTTTTCATACAGACAGTGGCAGATGTGGTACAGAACAGACCTTCCTTCTTTTTAGGAAACTGCTGTTCCCAAGCAGCTTCTCTCTCATCCTGTTTTACCCTTCTGTGATCTTCCATGGTTATCTCATCATCCCAACTTGCTCCATCTTTGCTCTCCACAACCCCACAGTCTTCTGCCTTTCTTGCCTGGAGCAACCATGAACAGTGTTATACAACTAATGATGCTCAGCCCAAAGGAGCCTGAAAGCAACTCCTAAAGGGGTAATTTTCAGGGGCCTAACCAACAGTTTTGAAGTAAATAGCCACATTTGAAAGTGGGTCAAACATCCGATTGAAATTTCACTATAACAAGGTTTTTACTACTGGTTTCCTCTCAAAAATTTACTAGCTCTGAAGTGCAAAGCATCTAGATTCAATTAATCCTCTACAGGTATTGGATCACCTGAGGAAGCTGGATTCAAAGGTATTGAGAAGTATGTGGTTGTATTTAGTTTTAATATGGAAATAAGTTTCCGGTCTATACTTACTACAGCATGTTTTAGTATTAGGCACCTTGAGAGTGGCTGGAAAGAGCCAAGGAGACAACACTGTTACACAGTTCCTAGTATTACCAAGCCCAGATGTGAGTAACAGCTCTAGTCCAAACAGATCTGGAAAGGAGTGATTTACCCTTGGAATGGTCCCTAAATCATAAGCAAATTACTTTCCTGGTCTAGACAGATGCCAGGGCCATCCTCCAGTCCTGGCCCTGTAGCACCCAGAGGCTGCATTACCTGTGCCAGGAGCTCTGGCCTCTCATGCCACCAGAGAGGTAAGAACAGAACACAGAGCTCCTGAGCCTGGTCCACCAAGCCTCTCGTTACACCTGCTGGAGTCAGATGCCCCTTGGTTTGTCTGAGCACAGGAACCAGCTGCCAGTGCAGCCCTGAGCTGCTGCAGGGAGTGCTCAGCGTTGCTCTCATGTCGTAACCGAGCAATAGTTGTTGCCTGCAGTAGTTGCCATGTCCACAACAAAAGCAGGATAGAAAATGGAGGGGAGTCACCAACTTCTCCCTTCTGTGTCCCCCCCCCCCCCACAGCTGTGTTGTTTCAAGGTTTTTCACACACCTGGTGTACACCTGGGGAAGGCCTTTCTTTGCATGGACATGTAGTGGGACCATGGCCAAGAAGTACCTGTGAGCTCCAGCCTCCAGCATCACCCCATGGCCCCCAACACCCTCCATGCCCACTGCAGCTGAGCTGTCCACATGCTGCTCCCAGAGTGCCAAAGGCAGCAGGTGCACAGCGGTGGATCTTGGCCCCCACTCCAAACCTCTGCAGGGAGTACCCTCCAAAGAGGGCCCTGGACACAGATAGGGGAGTATGTGGTGTGTCTGCAGACAGCCATGGGCAGTACACCACCTCACCCCAAACCCCTCTGGGGAGAAGGATGACCTGGATGGTGCAAAGCCCAATGCTTCACCCCCAGACTGCTCCCACGTGCCCCAGCCTGTGGGAGGGATGGGCTTGTCCCCAGGGGATACTTACTCCTCGTGCCCTTTGCAGAGGAAGAAGAGGGTCCTCCAGGCCTGCACTGTGGCCAGCAGCAGGGAGAGGAGCCCGGTGAAGATGCTGAAGCGGCAGGCGGCCTCGGGCCCCCACTCCTGCACGGTGAAGCGCTGCCGCTCCACTGTCAGGTTGGCGTTGAGCCACATGCCCTCGGTGAAGAGCAGGCACCGGCCGTGGAAGTCGTTGCCATTCTCGGAGAGAGGCACCACCACGATGAAGCTGAAGAGGAAGGCCAGGAAGTAGCAGATGCACTGAGCGAAGAGGAAATTGCTGAGCGCCATGTCCGCGGCTCTGCGCCGGGAGAGGGAGGGAAGGAGGGAGGGGAGGAGGGAGGGATGCAGGAGGGAAGGATGCAGGAGGGAGGGATGCAGGAGGGAGAGACGCAGGGGGGGCGATACGGGGTGGGAGGGGGAGAGGATGAAAGGATGGAGGGAGAAAGGCTGCAGCAGTAGGCGGTGGGGAGGGAGGGAGGATGCGCAGTGCAACGCAGTGCAATGGAATGCAATGCAAATGACTCCTCCGGACAAGGTGCTGCCTCTCTCGCCGCCCGAGCTGCCCCTGCTGATGGCTTCAGGACTTGTGGGGGAAGCGGGGAGCGGAGGGGAAGAGCCGTTGTGGGGGATCCCTCTTCGGGAAAATCTGGCCGCTACTACACCCTGGCGTCCAGGGGTTAAATCAGTCCGTGTGTCTCCAGCAGGGCCGGGTACCACCGTTCGGTGGGGGACCCCTCTAATGACACAGGACACTGATGACACCCCTGTTGATGGTCATGACACACGGCCCCTCCACCACAAAAAAAAAAAAAAAAAAAAAAAAAGACCGTACAAAAAACCACCCATCAAACTGGCTTCTTCCTGTCTGCTGGATCCCAGCAAGTTTTGACCTGAGTTTCTAAAAATCTGGCCATCAACCTCAGACGGTGCACAGCCACCCCAGGACCTGCAGATCCACGTTCTGTTCCTAGATCAAATGGTCACACCCCTACCAAGACATTTCAAGGACAGCAAGGGCTCATCAGAAGTCGAATAACTTTTGTTGAGCCTTGCTGTAATTTAGGGGCTGCATGGTGTTGGGATCAGCTGCATTATCCCCTGGCTGGCAGACGGACCGGGGGTGAAAGAAAATAACCCTAAACAAGCTCCTGGTGGATATTAAGCTGAGAACAGATCAGCACAGCAATGGTGCTGCATGGCAGGAACAGGTGGCATTTGACTCCCAGAGGTGAACATCCACCCTGCTCTGCACTGCCAGTGAGCAGCTCCCTGCCCCACACAATGCTTGCTTGGAAAGACAGCAGGGCATTCCCTCAGTTGTAGGGCCCAAAAATGCATTTCAAGAAAGCAAAAGGCACCAGAGAAAGGAATGTGCCTTGTGCTCAGATCCCGCCACCACAAAAATCCACATTAAACTGACCCCAAGTTATAGTTTCCCGTCGATCCCAATTTCATTTTTCCATCTAAACATGAATCCTCTTTCCAATACAAGATAGCACAATTAATCTCCAGTTCCAGGTAAAGTAATTTCTAATCCAATTTCCTGACCATATCCAGTATGAGATCAGCTGCAGGTCTGAAATCACTTCTTAATCCCAGGGCTCTTTCCGCTCATTTTATCACTGTGCCACTTCCTGGGCAGTGTTTAGAGAAGTAGATGAGGGACAAGGACCCCAAATATAGCGCACATGGGATTTCAGGCTTGTGTTTCCATGGGGCAAGTAAACAATTATTTTTCCACACTGTTAAGAGCTTACAGATGAGGTTACAGATGTTAAGAGGTTACAGATGCAGTTCTGAGGCAGGCACTGGAGGCATTCTCAGAGAAGACATTAATTCATCTTCATTGCAAATCATTTGCAATGCATGCTGCCTTGAAATCTTGCTCTGTCTGTACAGGGGAAGTATTTCTTGAAGTAAAACTTTTTTTATATGTGAAATGTGTCAGGCCAGTTTTCTGATCCTTACCAAGCTCTGATCATCAAAAATTGTATTTCAGTTTTGCAAGATGAGCACTGACCTGACCCTGTGGGGATAGACATATGCTCCTAACAGAACGGATTTTGCTGATATTTCAGTCTATCAGTAAGGAGGAAAGTTTATTGCTCTTAACCTTGCTTCCAAGAAGTGCTCGTTTCCCAATGGGCTTTGTCCTTTATCCGGAAAGAAATCAGACCTGGATTGAGCTGGAAAACTCTTTTCTTTGAAACCTGACACATAAGATTTGCCAGATAATGTTTTCTGAAGTTGACTTGGGAGGTCAACACCAACATAAAAGCCCAGTTACTGCTTACACTGGAGCCCACAGAAGGGGCCAGCAGATGCCAAGGGCGCTTTGCCTCAGGCAAGCCCCATACTCAGATCTTACCACCAGCAAGCACAGGAGGGTTATTGCAGAAGTGAACACGGGGGTCACTTGTAGAGCAGATAAAGTTGTCTTTGCTGATGAACTAACTCAAGCAAGCATTTATTGGAGAGTTTCAGAAAATACATCTAGGCATTTACAAGTGTGAACAGGCATGTGAAACAGCTGCACTTAGCATGCTGACAGGTACTGAAGCACAGGGCTTGGTCAGATGGAGTGACCACACACTAAAGTGAGCAAAGGGATAGAAATAAAGCCTGTCAGCCACCTCTTTGACGGTTGCCTGGATTTCTCATACTCTTCCCTCGTGTAAATCCTAAAAAAAAAAAAAAAATTGTGCTAGGCTGGAACTTGGTCTCTGAAACATACAGTTGTTTCAGTGGAGTAAATTTGATAGTGTTTTATAAAGAAGACTCTAACAGGCTTACTTTTCTCAACATGGTGACACTGGAGGAGAAAGGCAAGGTGAATGATTATTCATTTGTTCTTATATCACAGGAAATGGAGGACATCAAATATACAGGTCAGGCAGAAACTTTGAAACAGAGGAAAAGATGCACATATTTCACAGAGCACGTAATTATTCTGTGGCACACTGCAGGGGCCAAAAAGAAATGCTGGCGGCAAAAGATATTAGAAAAATTAATGGAAAAAAGAGCCCAGCAGGGACTGCAAAATACAGAGCTGGGGAAGTAACCTTCAGCTCAGGAAGTCCCTGACAGCAGGTTGCTGGGAAGGTAGAGTCAAAATTATCATTCTCCATTTGCCAGAACGCTCTGTTCTTCTCTGAACTAAGCATCTGCTCCTGGCTGTCCTTGGAGATGGGATACCTGGCAAGATAATCATTTGGTCTGACCAGCTTTGGCCACTTCAGGTTCTCATTACAACAGCTGGCAGTATTGGCCTGCTGTCTCAGCTTTCCCATCCCTTGGGAGACTTGTTCCTCCAAAGCATCCCCCATGATTTGGCTTCTGTGACTGTCTTTAGGACAGAGTTACCACTGGAGCTGACACACGGTCATTTTGTCCCTTTTGCACTGTGGAGGAAGCCAGTGGGATAGTTCTTGCAACTGCACAGCACAGAGAGAAGAGTAGATGTTGATGAGAGAAGGCTGCACATTCCCCCAGCTCTGGTGGTTCCATCACAAGAAGCATAGTTCAGATGTCTTCCTACTGCAGCCTCACCATGACCAAAATCACCTTGAGCATGACATCCCAGGCCTCCTGCCCACAGCACAGGCGGGTCTCACCTACTCCAGGTCACCCACCCAGGCTTGCTGTACCAGAATTGAACCCATCTCCCACAAGGAAGGAACCCCAAGGGGACCATGTGCTGACATGGGACTGAAGATGGCTTGCTCAGCATCAGGGAGGGTGAAGTTCAAAGTTTGTAAATTCTGTTTCTCTGAGAAAAAAAAAAAAACCGCACAAAAAAAAAGCTGGCTTCACTATCAACTGCCATTGCACCTCAGTGATAAAACAGAAAAACCAACCTGGATAAATCAAGATTAGATATACAGTATTTGCCTGTATTCCCTTCAGCCCCATATCTCCTTGTAGCTGCTTGGCTAATCCTCTGTAGATCAAGTAACACGTATGAGTTGGTCTGATGTGGAATGACTGATGGGGACTGTGGTTCTGGCTGTGCTGCTCCAAGCTCCCTCTCAAGTCATTAATTATGGCATCTGACATGAGCAGTGCTCTCAAGTTGATATTTGTGAGGTAAGTGATGAATTTGCTCTCCTCCTGATAGCTCATTAGGACATGTTTTATTATGAGAAAATTTGCTGAGGAATTAATTATTCAGACAAAAAAAAAAACATTTTTGGGAGCAACTTTATTTGGTTTTATGTTTAATTTACCTTGGATATATCATTTCTGTGATCCAAGAAAAATAATGGCTGCATGTCTAGAAGGTGGCTACTATCTTGCTACCAGTACTGCACTGCTTATTTCTGGAGATGAGTCACAGTCACAGCAGTACTTCTGCAGAAGGATGCCCAGGGAGCAATATGTCTGTATTCTAGGCAGAGAAAACCAGTCCAAATGGCAGCTTTTGAGCCAGCCCTTCAGTCACCCTAAGGCAACTTCTCCCTGATTTGCTTTAGCTGAAACAGCTGCCTCAGCCCATTTTACCAAATTGTTTAGCAAATACAGTATGCCCCAGGCTTTGGAGTCTATTTTATTCAGACTCTGGTCTATTTTATTCAGACTTTTTGGTCTGTTTTACTATTATATTAATACATTATTATTATCTTGACCTATTATATTTGTCCTCTGAAACCAATGGAAAGGATCCAGACATGTCACCTATCATCTTATGATGGCTGCTGTAAATAACACTTTTTGGGAGAGGTTTCTCATGGTAATCACTATATTTAAGAAAGTGTCTGCCACTAGTTCAGAAGGATTATAGACAAAGTACCAAACTGTCAGCCACCTGTCACATCGGCATTTCTTCACAGCTACCACTGCATCATGAATCTCTCCGGACATCTCATCTGGGAACATCCTGCTGACATTTTGCCTTTTTTTTTTTTTTTTTTAAATATCTCCCTTCTGCTAGGAAAGCTGTCTTGTCTGTGAGGAGGATATGAGCAGAGAAGATGCCATGCTGACAGACATTAATGGAGCAGTTATCAAGAAGCAGCTGAATATCATTAATGTGTACAGAGAGAATAACCTCTCTATTTTGATATTCAAAGAAAAATGAACATACTCAAATATATTCACATTCTGAACTTACAAAGTCCAGGCTGTGGCTAAAATATAAATTATAAAAAAAAAAAAAAAAAAAAAAAGAAGATACTTGAGCTTTTCAGAGCATCATTAACCCTAAGCTCTGAGTGACTCATACGTGTCAGACTCCAGAGCACTTTACAGCTTGTAAGCTGTAAGAGCTGGCAGGGACATGGTCCCAAAATGGCACATTATTTGCTCAACTGCCTCTCCTGTCCTTTCTTAAGGAGGATAGAGGTAATGACAAGGGTAGGATGAACTCTAGCAAGGTTCTGATCCCAGGTTCTGCCCAGCTGAAGAGCGCATCAGAAAAACAGGCTTCAGGAGTGAATGCATATTTTCTTCTGGCACCAAAGAGATGCTAGAAGAGCATGGGAGAGTTGGAGACTGCT